TTAAGTAAAATATCAAACTAATAAACAAAATAATTTATGACCCCTTTAAAAAGTCTGACAATTATTTAGTTTAACAGCACTTATCAGCTTTTAATGTGCTTACAAGTTAATAATAAGTAATTTAATGATCTATTTAAATATTGACTTATACAAATGAGAAATTGTAAATGAGAAGAGTTAATTTGCCAAAACAAATCTCCATTTTAATTAATTTTCAACCAACACAGCCATGCCAATGTTTTGTTGAGTGTTTGTTGTTTGAGTTTTATGAGAACTCATCAAACCTTAGCTATCTTGAAGAGCTCTCACAGACAAGATCAATGTAAAATGGACTCACATTGAGGCTAAATGTTGCCACTAAAATCCACAAAAACTTCTCTAGGAACAACATCAAACTGGGAAAACGCAAATGCTTTATGGTGTTCTTTGTCATTCAAGCTTGAATATTTCACAGTAGATGTCATTAACTGAGTATTCAGTATTCCTCAGTGTTTGACAGTGGTCATTGCTTCTAAGAATTCTATGTTATGATTATAACAACATCTTAAAGAACATGTTTAAAGTGACCTTCTAGTTGTCTTTGTTTTAATGTTTTGTCTTGTTTGCCTTCCTCTATCTCTAACTTCAGCCCGACAACTACACATGGAGTCCAAAACCACACAAATGCCACTACGTGTCCTACAGGAGAAAACCATGAATGGATCTACACTGTGATCCCATTGTATATCCTGATTATCACGGTGCTGGGAATCGTGCTTAATTTGTTTGTCCTGATGGTTTTCTGGCTTCATAAGAAGGCCTGCACCGTGGCGGAGATCTACCTGAGCAACCTGGCTGCTGCTGACCTTGTCCTAATGGCTTGTTTGCCTTCCTGGGCTGTCAATGTATCCAATGGTTTCAACTGGCCTTTTGATCAGATCCTGTGCAAAGTCTTCAACATGGGCATTACTATGAACGTCTACTGCAGCATCTACTTCCTTGTTCTGGTTAGCATAGATCGTTATGTGGCACTGGTGCATACAATGTCCCATGAAAGAATGCGTAGGCCAAGAAATGCCAAACTGGGCTGTGTGCTGGTGTGGGGGTTGGGCTTCCTCCTTAGTGTCCACACACTCATCTTCAGGGATCTGAAACATGACCCTGGCTTGAATTTTACTAAGTGCTATCTTAAATACCGAAACATCAATGAAGAGCTGCTGTACGAGGGGATGCTGACTACGTTCACCTTCATCATCCCTATTGCCATTATTTGCTACTGCACTATAAAGATTATTCAAGCTCTGAATAACCGGTTAATGCAGGGGCTAAACTCCCAGAAAGTGGAGCATAAGGCCACCACTCTGGTGCTGGCGGTCCTCTTGGCGTTCCTGATCTGCTGGGTCCCATTCCGCCTGCTTAAGATAGTAGAATTGCTCATAAAAGCAAATGTCCTGCAAGCGTGTATCATCATCAAAGTCCAATCCATCAGTCTGCAGTTCTTTGTGTACTTAGCATTCTTCAACAGTGTTCTCAACCCCATCTTATACGTCATTGTAGGAAAGAACTTCCGAAAGAGAGCTAAGGAACTCTTCACTCAGTGGAGCAATAAGAGAACGTCGACCCTCACCATCAACTCCACACGCTCCAACCTGTTGAGAAGTTTTAAATTGGTCTCAAGTTGATCTGCAGGGGGGGAGAAGCAAGGGTATGGTTTTTTTGTTTTGTTTTTTTTTTGTTTTTTTTTCATAATTTCACATAATGAAATGAGCTGTTATTTCCCCAGAAGAAAAACATTTGACTCCAAATGAGAGATCAGGATTATGTGTATCTGGCCTTTCTCAACAAAGGTGTGGTCATTTTATGTCATGTCAGGATTACAACTGATTGTTTCTAGTGATATCCTGTTGACATTGTGCAACATTCCAGGAAGTGAGACTCAAATTACCAGCTCTGCCATTGTAACACTTACTTCCATCAGAAATGCTTTCTGAATTAGAACAATAATAGCGCTGCTACATAATTAAACAGCTCTACCAGATTGTGTTTTAGATTGCATAACTAATGGGCACAAACTAAGAAAATGGAAATAATGTATTCAACTGATGAAAACACAGTTTGTGTCACTGTGTTTAATTGCACAAATTTACAGTCTTAATATGACACTTTAATTGTAAAATGTTCCAGGCCTGTCTGTATGCATGTCCGTGGATAAGTGTCTGAATCTGTTTCTTTGTACATTGTGTTGCTCTGACTGTCTTGTCATATTTTATTTTATTAACACCTATAAACGAACCCTGCAGCCAGTATCTCTTTACAGTGACAACACACGACACTGTGCCTGAAACAACCTCTATGTTTCAATTGTGAAACTATTTGCTTAATCAATTTCAAGTATCACCTGAGGTTCAAAAGACTTTACCTTTTGCTTATCCACAGTATACGAATAAACTTTCACCTATGTGAATTTTTACAGACATGCTGTTGACATGCTGTTCAACATGACACAAATATATACAAAGCTTTTTGGTATTACATCTCGGTTCTTGTTTTCATAGATGTATTTTCTGTGTTATTGTAACTTATCTCTCCAATTTAATTACTGAGATCTGGGAACACAGTGTCATCGCTGCAACAGCGGCCAATCAGGAAGGTTATAAACAAGCCAGGGCTGTAGTCAGATTACAGATTACAAGACACTTTATTTGGAAGTAAACGTGAGTTATTATCCCTTGCATAGGAAACCTGTATGCACACACAGCAATGTTGGTAGAACAAGTCAGTGTGTAAACTATCACATCACGTTATTTGTTTAAAATTTCTATGATTGTTTAACAGCTCATGGTTCTTCCAAGTCCCCAGAAGCATTTTCACCAATTCAGTGTCCCCAGATCTTAGCAAGTAACATGGTGAGTGCAATCTTTTAGTGTCAATAGGAAGTATAACCAAAAGTGTGAAAGTATGTGATAAAAAAAACAAAAAACAGATTAATATTAAAATTGGGAAGTGTGCTGATTTTACACATCAACGTCTGTTTACAAGTTTTGGGAGTACCATTGCATATGTGAAAAAAAGTTGTATGAAGCCTTTTGTGCCTCCAGAAGGAGCAGTGTGAAATATGATAAATTGCCTCAAGTGGCATAACTTTATTGTTACAGACAAAGCGACGCCAACTAATCCATGTAGATGTACAAAGCTTAATTCAAGAGGTTATTATAAAGAGCAGCTCTAATCTTAACATGTGATCAGACAAAAGCAGAGCAGCAGAATTTTTTTTTAGAGATTAGAATTGCTGAGGGGGAGGAGGAGGTAAAATATCTGTTTGGAACACGTGGCCAGGAATTACACATTGTACTTTTAAGTAAAAGTCGTACCTGCATTCAAAACCTTATTTAAGTACATTTAAATTACTTAAACTAACAAAAGTTGAAGTACACATTCCACAATAAATTGGTCACTGTCATTGTTTTACTATTATATATAATGTTTTCCTGAATACTGCTGCATTAATGAGTATATTGCATATTACTTCTGTAGGTTTGTGCTTATTTTAACTACTTTATATATTGTTGGGTAGTTATATCTAAAGTAATGCATCATATTTTATAAGACTATAACGTTGCTGTTCTGTGAGAACTACATATCTGTAAAAGGTCAACTTTTAATGAGCCTTGTTTTCAGCTTTGTGTCCAGCTAATTGGGTAGGGTGGGAGGGATAGCTGCATAAAATGAAAATACTCAAGTAAAGTCCCTCAAATTTGTACTGTACAGTACTTGAGTAAACATATTTACATGTTACAAAGAAGGGCAATGCTAAATTGATGAAATACTCTTTTGATGCTCTCAGGCTCAGAGGAGTTTCTATTTGATTTAGCACATCACAGAACAGTGTCACGACTTTGTTCAGTAAGATTAAACATTGTTTATGTCGTCAAGTTAGCCTCTCCTAGTATTTGTTGAAATATGTCTGTATTAAAGTGTACAGTGTATTGTGTTGTTAGAAACCACAAGCGCATGCATCCATCCTTATTAAAATATAAAATAAAGCCAACCCTTTTCCCATAATATTTCATTGATTTCCAGTGTTGCACACATGTTGTACAGATCGGAGTGGGTTGATGTCTTTCCTATTTTTACATTGAATCACAGCTCCAGCACCTCTAACAAGCCTTTATTTGGTGAGCTGTGATCTCTAAATATTAGACTAAACATGGAAGAACATGTTTGTGTCCTTTCAGTGGAAACCATTCTTAGCGTCAACAGATTCTTGTTCCAGTTCCAGTTGAAGTGCTGCTTAGCAAGCTGTCTGTGCCTGTCTTGTCTCAACACAAGCACAATGCTTTGCCACATTTCAACTTTATGAAACACAACTAGTTTGTCTATGTGTGGCCCTGCGATGGACTGGCGACCTGTCCAGGGTGTACCCCTGGACCCCTTTCGCCTGATGTCAGCTGGGATTGGCTCCAGCCCCCCGCGACCCTGTACGCAGGATAAGCGGTTGATGATGGATGGATGGATGGATGGAAACACAACTGAACTAAGAAAATCATTCCCAGCACCACAATGGCACTGACAGCAGTAAATTATATGCATGCAAATACATGCTATTCAACTTCAAAAAGTAGGGTCAGGGTTAGAAAAATACTCCATTATAACTAAAAGTCTTGCATTTAAAACCCCATTTAGCAGTATTATCAGACAAAATATGCATTAAAAGTGAACTTAAAATATCCCTTGATCACTTCCTAACATTGGTCTATCATCTCTCCACTTTCACTGGGTCAGAGTGGTGCGGACAGCTGCAGTTTTGAGTACTGCTGTGGGACTTTGGAGCTTGCCATCCACATTATCTTGCTTTACCACACGGGGGTGCTGCAAGCCTTCTCCTCAAAATACTTATGTGAGGCGAGAATAACCATGACACAAGAAGAAGCCAGGTCGTGGGTTGGGCTATGAGGCTCAGAGATCCATACCTGGTCACAGTTGTCACGATCACCAGTACACTGGATCCTATAATACTGTTCAATCAATGAGAGTGCTCAGAAATAGATTAGGAAAGCTCCCAAGAAAGGTAAATGAATTTTTATGAATGGATTTGGTCAAGGAGCTCTATTGGAATTCAGTCAGGGAACTGAACTTTTTTTATTTTTAACATACAAGTGCAAACCAAATAGAAAACAAATGACTGGGACTGTGTAATTTACGAGGTGGAAACTTAGTGTTCAGATTCTGATGCCTTTTTACTGATATTGTTATGTTGCCTTGTATTGACATTTTGTTGGGACAAATCATCTTTTTTATTACTGTCATGTACAACTGTTTTCTGTGGTGTAAACAAGGTCACATTTACATATATAATTCTTAACAGATTGTCTTTTCTGGTGCATTATTGCATGAAAGGATCTGTTCACATTTTTCAAGTCTATCTTAGTGGATGTATATGCCACATTATTTGATGTATTTGCCACATTATATGTACATTAAAAGGGAAATTGGTCTTATTAGTCCAAAATACCTAATTCGTGCTTCCACAGACAGGGTTTGTTTGCTGAGCCACAGCGGAGCGATAGTAACACAAAGAAGAAATGTGGTACTGAAAAGACTTTGTGACTTTGGAAGATCTCCATTTTATATATTTATTTTATTTTATTAACTTTGCTGGAGCCTCATATTAACTTTGGCTGAACCTTTGATTTTTACAAAGAACGGGAACTGTGGATTTTGTTCCCCATCATAATGCTGAAATTGCTTTAAAAAGGGATCTCAGTATATGGACAGAAGGAACAATTACAGCAACCAGTGACACTTTCAATGCACATAATGGACATGTGAGCATTGTTTTTAAGGCAGACTAAAAAAAAGTAGCACGTAGGCACTGCCATAACAAACATAACAACCAGCCATAACAACATAACTGCGCTATGGAAACAATTAGTCAAGCTGATATGTATTCCTTTATCAGACAAAAATCAGCATTACCTTTACCTGAGTCCATGTCAATATTGACACACCACATAAAGACAAGCAGTCTCATATAGACTTAGTACCCTAATTAAATCTACCATGTGGGCCTCTAACACCGGTAGTTTGTTCTGTCATGGCCTGTCACCCAGTACATTGCATACGGTAGTCAGGGACAAAAAGGAGGCAGCTGCATACTCTTCCTGTTCCTTAAAGCTGACTGATTAAGCAGTGGAAGACCTCACAACTGAATGAGTCAACTCTGCATGTGTTTTAATGTTTTCATTTGAATAATAATGAATTTTATGGACAGAATTTGGAGCAGAATTACAACTGAATAAAGAGTAAGTACAACTTCATCTGAGTTGAATTGTGCTTTTCCTTATAAAATACTCTTAATGTTTATGGTTGACACACAGATTTTTCATGTTTTAGCCCATTTATATTGTATAGGTCCATTCTAGCTAATGCACTTCAAAGGATGGAAGTTTTTTAATTGATATCCCATCTTCCAGGAGGTCACTAGTTAACATTCATTTCAGCAAAGTGTAAAAAACCCCCAACAACCTACATTTAGACTTGACACTTGTTTTACAATAGATAATCCATTACAGTTAACGTCTGATCAATAATTGTTTTTGTAACATTGCTGTTATGTTGTAATGCATTTGCCAGCAGGACGCGTTGTAAAATGACCTCCTTCAGTGTTGGTGCAGGCAAAAAAAGTGCAACATCAGAGATTTAAGAACTGGCTACATAAGTTTTGAATTTAGGCAGACTGAGCTGTTGACAAATGAAGTAGCTTTGACAAAACAGAAAGCAGATTAAATTGTCACACTGATAGATGACCAGTCTGGACTTTAAGTTACTAAATTGTGCAAGCTGATTTTCCAAATCTACTGAAATTTACTGAAACGAAAGGTTTCCTGGAAGGAGGAAACAAATTTCAAGACTTTGCCATGAAAATGTTCATCAGTGTGAGGTAATGTTATTTGTGATTCACTTGCTGAAATGAGCAAACTTCCTTGTGTGATATTTTTAAGGGTGACCCCAGTGATTTAGTATGTCACTTCCCTGAAGTTGGGTGGCTCACATGAGACTGGTAAAAAATAAAAACAGCAGAGGCTGAGATATCCTGACTTTCACTCTCAAGCATGGGTCAAGTCTAAAACCTACATTTCCCATATTGCAGCTCAGTTGCATCTTTTAAAAAGATTCTCACTGACTGCTAACTGCCATGTCTTTCAAACTTCACACTCCCAGTTTGTTGTCACCAAATCAAAATACTTACTAACTACATAAGAGTTTAATTTTAAGCTCACAAAGCCACAGAAGACATTATTTAATTGAACTCCCTGATGAGTAAACTGAACTTAATGTGTAGAGCGCCCCTAAGGTTTAGGTATTCATATGCATTGTTGTATTCCTTCCTTTGTTCCTTCCATGTTTCTCTGCAAGGTGTGAGCATATGAACACCACATCTGCAATGGAAAACTTAACCCTGGCCACCAATCATTCAGAATGTTACTCGGCTGATAGCTCATCCAGGAGGAAGCCGTTTCTATTTTTCTACCTGGCCATCATCGTCACTGCCATCCCATCCAACGTCTTCTCCCTCTACGTGTCCTGGCAGCACATTAGACAGAAGAACGAGCTGGGTGTGTATCTGTTCAACCTGGCCCTGAGTGACCTGACCTTTACCATCGTCCTCTCTCTGTGGCTGCACTTTCTGTGGACAGGTGTTTGGGCCCACGGTGGCTACGTTTGTGTGCTATCTGTCTACTTTCTCTTCACTAACTTTTACACCAGCGATGCTCTCCTCTGCTGCATTGCTGTTGACCGCTACCTGGCAGTGGTTCACCCATTAAAGTACACTTTCTTGAGGAAAGTTGGCACTGCAGCAGTAATCAGCGCTTCCATTTGGGTGTTGGTGGTCTGTTTCAATGCCACCACCATCACCTGGGAGGACTCATACCATGAAAACAACAAGTCTTCGGTGTGTTTTGATATCTTCGTCCCACTGTCAGAAACCTTGGCTCGGGCTAATATAGCACGTTTCTTCCTGGGCTTTATTGTTCCCATTCTCCTGCTGATGTTTTCCACCTGGGGGATCTGTGAGGCAGTGAAATCCAACCAGGCCACAGAGGAACAGGAACGTAAACGGATTTCAAAGCTGCTGACAGTTGTCCTGCTCTGCCTTTTGTTCTGCTTCGGACCTATTCACGTCCTTATGCTTCTCCGCACACTAGTGGATGACTGCAGGAATGTTGCGTGGCTTCTCTATCCGTACAAGATCAGCACAGCTATCTCGAGCCTGAACTGCCTTGCAGACCCTCTCCTTTACTGCTTCATTACTAGAACGGGAAGGCAAATGTCAATCAGGTTGTTCTCTTCTTCCAGGTTAAGAAGAGAAGCAAAGATGATGGTGTGGTGTAGGTTAAATAAAGCACAAGACAGTTATACATTAAACAGAGGAGAATAGTCAATAATAAAAAGTTTACACAATTGCAGAAACTGTTTCAAAAATGATGTCAGCTGTAGGTCTATTTAAATAAATGTAGATCTATGTATATTCTATATTCTATATAAAAGACCCAAAACAAAAATGGGTTAGTCTGTCTCTCAGAGCTTTCTGATACCTTGTCTGTGGCACTCTGCTCCAAGCCCATACATTTCTAATGAACACATGAATCTTTAAATTACTCTGCTTTGAATAATAATTTTTCCACAAAAAAAGTGAAGTTACCCCCTTTAAAATGTAAAGATTACATCCTCACCTTCTCCCTCATTGAGAAATCCAACATCTGTTAAAAATGCAAATATTTTTTAAACTGCTTGATACAAGTCTCCTATATTTTCACAGTAGGTCAAATGTTCTCAGTATTGTGTATCTCACTTGTGTAAGTTGCATATTGGGTCTTAATTGGCTACCAAATAGGCTTCAAAGTTGATCATTCCCAATTGCAGATCTGTGTTACCATTATTATGTCTGCCCACCCCCTTGTTTAAAATGACAGTTTGCTTTGCTTGTACTGCACATCTCTGCTATCAAGGTACTTTAATAACATCAGCATATACCCTTTATCAGCAGTGACTCATGGAGAACAGCTGTTCCATGGTGGAGTATTTAACACCACCATTGTGAAACCTCCCCCAGACAAGTCCAAAGAAAATAAAGGGATTTAAATGCAAAGGTGATGCCATGCATCATTTAAATAATGTGTGATTAGGAAAATAATATTTGACTGTGGTTTCAGTTCAGCTTTTTTTGACACACTATTTGTATTTTTGGTCAGATATTATGAATGTATTTGCATTTAACATACACATTTTATTTGTTCCTTTATTCCATCACAAAACATGGTACATATGTGTTACATGTGTTGTGTGTAGTTAAGATAAATAACTACCATCACATTATGATCTAAAATGCTGTGAATTAGAAAATAAAGAAGAGCTCAAGAATAATTTCAGTAATGACAGCTTGCAAATTTTCAAATGCCATAGTCCAGTCTGTGGGTACCTCATGTTAAAATGAAACTGTGTATGTTTGTTAGGGGTTTTTGTAAGGAAAATGTTATTTTAAATTCTTGTCATGGGCACAAACTGCTCATGATATCAACAAATAGAATTTCCTGCATTCCTGAGGAAAAATAAAAGTCATAAGAAGGATTGTTTCTGATTCCGGTGATTATCCCACAAAGTACTATTATTTTAAAATGAAAAGTTAGCCAATAAAATCTTGCATGTATAAAAGTCTGTTAACAGACATAAAAATGTACACAAGTATGTATTTGAAAACAGTTCAGAATATGTTTAAGTTTTTTTATCTTTAGGATGTGTCTAAGGTGTGGCATTGAGATAAACGTGGATGTATAAGGCTGTCTAGTGGACAATTATGGAAGTGCAGCAAGCTGTCCACACTACACTTGAAATATTCAGATAAAAATTTCTTATGTGTTGCCTTTGCACAAAATGTTTCATTACATAAACTGTACTATTTTATTATAGCAATTACACCGAATATAAAAATGAATGTATTGTAATGTATATGAATTTTCCTTTTTTATTGTTTTATCCTTATTTTAGCATCATGAGATATTGACCATGTAGGTTTGTGGTGTACTTTCTGGTATGTGCATAATACAGGAAACACACACAGAAAAAAACATGTCCCTGCAGCTCATACACACATGCACATACCTACAAACACACAAACATAAACACACAGACTTTGATATAGATACATAGATCTTTAAAAAACTAAATAGTAACCTTGTAGGGGCCGGCTGTTTTTTTCTGATGGTAGATGAGTCCCCATAATATAACTGTGAGAATAGATTTTTATTTTGACAGGAGAACAATATGACAACCTTGCATCTCACGTTATTTTTTCTCTTCAGGTATTTAAAATGTGTGACACTTCTCCTCCCCTTCTTCTTTTGCCATCATGCCTTCATAACAGCAACGGCTGAGAAGGACATGTGCTCTTCCACGTGAGTCTTTGTCCTGCCTCTTGCTTTCTTCCATCCATCCATCCATCCATCCATCCATCCATCTATCAATGTCAAATACAGTAATATGCATCACCTAATGCTACATCAGCAGAAGGGGCTATTAAGCCCATGTGAACGCCCATCTTGTCACCTCTCACCTTCCACTGTCCTTGACTCTGTAACAGACAACTTTCTTCAAATGTAGAGTACCCGTGGTGGTAACTGAGAATCAATAGGTGTTGTCAGCAAATCCCAGATTCGACCTGGATGTTGGCAGAGATTCAAAGGTACACGTGTGTGACCATCTGCTCTCTGTCAGGAATGATGAATGAGTCGGACTGCAATCTACACTGGTGATCTATTAGTATGCACACACATGTAATAGAAACATGATCAGTCAAAGTGTTGGTTGAGGACAAAACATCAATGGTGACTATACTGACTAGATAATTCCTTTTATCTTATCATTAAGAGGTCCAACTCTTACAAGCTTTGAATTAGGATGCACAGCTACCTTTTGGTCAGTCCCTGCCCTGGTGTCTGGTTGCTGGTATGCAGGCTGTGTGGGAATAGTCGGTGTAATGTATACACACACATGCCGCAGAGAAAATCTAAACCAAATACCTCACGTGTTAAAAAAAAAGAAACAGATTGACAAATATAGCAGTGTATAGTTGTCTTTTAACAACATCACATAAGCCATTTGGAATGTGAACTAAGAATATAATATCTAGCTTTATTGTATTTAATACTTTAATGTAATACATTATATACATTATGACTAAATCAGACTGTTATTAATGTTTTATCAACTTTTAGCAATATACAGTATCACAGCTATATTTCCTTCCTCATTGCCTCATTAGGCTGAAATATTTTTCCTTTTTGCATTGCTGCCACTCATTGCAATGTGATTTTGTGTATTTAAATGATGCATTATTCTAATCTAAAACCTTTAATAAATCTTCTTTTCTCAGACACAGCACTCTACAGCTTCTCTCCCAATCTATAATCCAAACTGTCCCGCTCTCTCTCTCTCACTTGTTTCTTTCCCACTTGCCAGATGTGTGCAGTCTGACTCAGCCACAAGGGTAGTTATCTTTAGTCATTGGAGAGCAGAGAAGCTGAGACCATTGGTGAGCTCTTTGTATCACTGTGACTCCTGACATATCTTAAATTGAAAAGTGTTTTTGGAGATACATACAGTATATGATGCATTATGTAAGAACAAATATTATGTATCATCAGCGTGATTAAGCATAATCAATTAAACATGATATTTCTGACAGAATTAAAGACCATTGTTAAGTCTATGGTAAATGCCTCCATTTTTATTGTGTCCGCTCTTTGTTATTATTATTGTTCTATATGTCTGGTTTTGCATTGCTTTGTATGCAATTTTTATTGCTGCCACTCAGCTCTCTTACAAAAGGGGTTTCCAACCTCAGTAGGTCTTGTGGTTAAATGAATTCAGGAGGGATAAATAATTGTGGTCAGTGCTAGGTAAATAAAACACTTTAATTATCTAATATCATGTTAGGCCTTGTGGTGGTAGGCAAATAGTGGCTTGTGGGCCAAATCAGGCACTGCAACAGAAATATTTGGCCCCCAGTAAAAGGGGAAGTTATCCCTTTTACACTTTGCATCAAAGCTTTTACACAATTCTTCATAAATCAACTGTAGGTAATAATGTAAATACAAAGCTCATGAAAATCCAATCTGCCATCTAATGATAGTTCACTATTTTCATCTTGAACACAAATAGATGGCAGTCTAACTTAAATGGGGTACAGACAAAACAGCAACAACAGAACTTTAATTCAGCCATAGATGAATACGTGCGTATATGAGTAATGTTTTACCAAATTAATGAATTTAGCGGTGAAGAAGGTATCTATGTGGGCCAAATCAGGCACTGCAACAGAAATATTTGGCCCCCAGTAAAAGGGGAAGTTATCCCTTTTACACTTTGCATCAAAGCTTTTACACAATTCTTCATAAATCAACTGTAGGTAATAATGTAAATACAAAGCTCATGAAAATCCAATCTGCCATCTAATGATAGTTCACTATTTTCATCTTGAACACAAATAGATGGCAGTCTAACTTAAATGGGGTACAGATTAAAAGACAAAACAGCAACAACAGAACTTTAATTCAGCCATAGATGAATATGTGCGTATATGAGTAATGTTTTACCAAATTAATGAATTTAGCGGTGAAGAAGGTATCTATGGGTTAAGAAGAACTTCCAATAAGTGGCTTGATTTGTGGTTTTACAAGAGGTGCCACAGAGCCCTTCAGAAAGGCCCTTCAGTAAGGACAACTGAGGCTCTTCGAGCTATTCTTGTATTCATTCATGTGAAAATCGACATCAACACATGCTTCTTTATCTCTGTTAGTCTTCACCTACTAGATTTACCACATATTTGCATTTTAAGACATTTCTTAAACTCTTGCTAGACTGAAGATTTATAAGAAGTCAAAAAATAATGGACTGTAAAGAGACATGTCCACATGAAAAATAATAATGTTTCTTTGTTGTGCATTTTTGGGCCTTCGGGAAGTTTTGTTTTGTGTCTTAACTACAAGTATTTGCAATTTGTCTCTGAGTTATTCTGTATCCCAATTTTATGATAACATTAATTCAAATTGTGCCTATTGTAAAATCTGCATCAATGTGAATGAAAATACAGTAGATGTCTGTTCACACTTGATATCTTCTTAAAGTGTTTCTTCAGGCATTTCTCTTATTTTTGATTCACTAGCAAGGACCACAATCAACAGGTATGATTAAATGATTTATTGATTAATGAACAGAAGATTTATGAAGCTTGCAGTAGCTGAACAGACATTAGAAAGCGTTGTGGGGAAGCTACGATAGGGAAATCCGCTGTAGCACCCGGGCACGACGGACCCCCAAAAAGCTTCCAGTTATTTGAGAGAACATTGGGTGATCTGGGATCTGGAGATCTTAGTGTAGTGGTGGTACGCTTTGTAAGACCGGTGCGCATGATCGGTATCTGATGCTCGGGAATGACGCCGCAGTAGCCTGAATGTTAGCTCAGATCCTGGAGGAGTGACCGAAGTAATGATGCAGTAAAGATGCAGTGAAATGAAACCGAAGAGAGCGAGCGTGGAAGTGACGGCTAAGGTTCAAGTCAAGTGAGGGATGCTGTAACTGGTGCAGATGGTGTGGATGCAGACCGGACAGAGAGTCTGCTGTAAGAGGAAAGCTGCCGGGGTCTTGAAATGTCTCTTGACGTTGAATGCCTCTAAGAAGTTGGGCTATATATATATATATATACATATTATGGCATGCCGTTTAGGAAATAATATATATTTATGGTTTGTCTGTCTGAATATATGGAATGAAAGTCTGAATATATGGAATGAAAGTCTGAATATATAGAATGGAAGTCTGAATATATGGAATGAAAGTCTGAATATATAGAATGGAAGTCTGAATATATGGAATGAACCTTGAATATATGGAATGAAAGTCTGAATATATGGAATGAAAGTCTGAATATATGGAATGAACCTTGAATATATGGAATGAAAGTCTGAATATATGGAATGAAAGTCTGAATATATTGAATGGAAGTCTGAATATATGGAATGAAAGTCTGAATATATGGAATGAAAGTCTGAATATATGGAATGAAAGTCTGAATATATTGAATGGAAGTCTGAATATATGGAATGAACCTTGAATATATAGAATGGAAGTCTGAATATATTGAATGGAAGTCTGAATATATGGAATGGAAGTCTGAATATATGGAATGAAAGTCTGAATATATGTAATGAAATCATCATCTGACATCATTAAGGCACTGGCGCCATCTTGTTTTTGATGTGATTAATCCGTATGGAGTAAGTAAGAAATCTAGTGTCAGCTATTTGGTGCATTGAAGAGATTACAAACACACTAGCAAATGCATGTACACGCCATAATACTGGGAACCATATCCAGTAGTTCTCCTGATGAAATAATTTATTCTCTTTAATCGTGGAAGACTGAATGCAGGAAACCTCCCAGGCCAGGCAGTTCCCGTTTATCAGGAAAACAAGCCTTCAACCTCACACGTGCCCCCACAACAGCTTAAGTTAGTTCGCATCCGAACTAATCTTTTAAACACCAAAGTCACAGAAAAAATAACCTGGCAGCGGTAACATTTTTTGTCAGTGGAGTTCGGTGGCTTTGAAGAGAGCGATATAACAGCTATTTCTGGTTAAACACAGGATCTTACTCTTTAAAAAGTTACTGCCTGAGCCCTTTTGGGTGGACATATGAAGATTGTATATAGGGGTTGTTGTGGGGGGCATCTGTGACGTTAAAGGCGTATTTCAGATTGCCTGATAAACGGGAACTGCCTG